CACCTTGGGTACTTAGTTCTGCCTTAATGTTGTCGTTGAGGCCATGCCAGAAGGCCGCGCGTAATGGGCGGTCCTCCCAGCCGGCCTCTGTGGCTAACACCCGAAAATCAACAGAATAATCCAGGACACGGCGAGCCCCCTGGCGTATTGTCATAAGTTCCCTAGAAGCTTGGCTGTGGTGTGAGGCTGGTGAAAAAACTGACCTGAGTTCATCCATGAAGTCCGAGATGGAGGTGCTGATGAAGAGTCTTTGTGAGTCTGCAGCCTCTGCCCAGAGGAGTGCTTTCCCTCGTAAACGGTTAATGATAAAGCTGATCTTCTCTCTGTGATGTAGGTCCGGGACTGGTGGTCAAACACCCAGCGGCACTGCAGCAAAAAACCCCGACAACTTTCGACGTTTCCTTCAAAAGTGTCGCGTTCAGGTATGTGTGGGTCTCTGCAGGGACTGGTGGCACAGGTGGCGGAGCGTGGAGCCTGGGGATATGTAGCAGAGGAAACGTGTGGAGGTGATAGCATGGCAGAGAGTTGTGCTACCTGCTGAGTTAGTGCTGCGATGTCCTTGTGCTGTTGCTGCAGTGCCTGAGCCATCTGGTCCATACGTGCGTCCTGAGATGACTGCGATGACCAACCGCTTGCACCGGAGCCGGCAGGATCCATGTGGGCCAGTTCGTTCTGTTAGGAGCCGTTCGCACCTGTCAGTGAGCGAACGAGAAAGAGGCGGACCCAGGTAGCCGACTTCGGTGCGTGCAGTGATTTATTATATACAGTGATGAAGGGAGTAATGATACAGGGAGGGAGGCAGAGCGGCCGAGCAAACCTGACACAGCCCCTGTCACATTTAGTTTTTTGATTCATTGTTTTTATAAAAATATTGATTGTAGCTGAAACTCATCCCAAGTGGTCCACAGACAGCATTATCAGGTGTCACATGAAGAATTCTTTTTCATAGAAAAGACTTTGCACCCTGTCAGTTTCATTTGACACTGACTGGTAAATTGATGGCTTCAGTCTGCAGAACCCTCATTAAGCTTGAGCCTCATTCAAGATAAAAGAGAAACACCTATTTACTGCATTTCATGTGGTCTGACATTTTGAACCACAGAAAACAACACTGTTGCTTCTTGTCTCCTCTGGTCCAGAATGATAGTCTCCAAAATGCTTCCCAAGTGTCATTTGTCAGGGATGGTAAACAGTGTCAGCCCTGTTCTCCAGCCCATGCATCAAACTACAAAAACAGTCACTCTCCAAAGACTGTAGCATTTGTTTGATAAATGGGGCGGACTAGCCAAAGCAGGAAATGGAGTGTCAGTTTTGATTCCTGTTCAATGAAAATTGGACAGATAATTGGGCTGGTTGTCTGCTACTGTGCTCTCTTTATTTTTTTGAATGGCCAGCACATCCGTAGTATCTCTTTCTGCACCCAGACCACCCTTCTTTTGACTTCAGGCTACATTCTGTAAATTCCTCTGAACTTGGGACTCATACATCCTCTTTGATGACCCGTAAAATGTGAGACAGATGCATCCTACAACACTGGACTCAATGAAACTGCCTTTAGGCCCAAAGTGACTAACTGTTGAGAGAAAGCAATTGAGCAAGAAAAGTATCCGGCTGGGCAGAATCACAGGAATGCTGAGACTGATGGAGCAGTCAAAGAGGATTCAGATTTTTGCGGTGTGTAGCACACAAAGCTGCATTGTGTCAACGTTTGAGACACCAACTATTTCTTTATAGCAATGCTGTGACATTGTATGGCAAAACAAAAAGGGAGTGGCCTTTTAATAATTTATAGTTTTGTTATGGTCTAATGATGGTGTGACATAATCACCCTCCCGTTTTGTTAAAACATTTTACTTCTGATCAGTTGCAGGATCTTCATTTGGACAGGGAGACACTGCTGACCTCCAACCGGAGCTTGGCGGAGGAGAGCCTTGCCCGACAACCTCGCCTTAATAACGGCAAACTCCAACTGGCAGAGAAATACCGGGAACTGTCCAAAATAGCAACCACATGCTGGGAAAAACAGAGTCAGCTTGGTGAGTTGACGCCACCTCTGAAGTGACAAAGGGAGGGGGGCTGTTTCTGGTTTCATATAGATTGGATGCCAATAAATGATGATTGTCGAGTCATAAGGCAAGAGGAGAGTGGTTAGGATGTTTCCTGGGGTCACTGGCTCAAATTTTGGAACTGGGTCCATAAATATTGTGCTTGAGAAGTGGAAGTGAAGCACTGAAAAGTCAGGAATTTTACAGTGTTCTGATGATGACATTTCTGTTTACATGGCCTTAAACAAATGACTGTCACTGTTTGCTTAGATGGCCACAGAACTTTGAAAGGTTTTTTGTTGACTTCAGTGATTAAAAGAAGGAATCACAGAAAGTCTAAGATTGCATCCAAACCACTTAAGGTTAAACGTGATTATACATGATGTCCCACAGTAGCTCCTCATTGTCTTCCTCACAGAGTTTACTGAACACTTTAAGACTTAAAAAGCAAAGATGTCTTTAAATGTCTTTTGACCCAATTTGACGCTCAAGATTTCAGAGAATAAGGGCTAATAAGGGATGTTTCACATCAGAAAAGACGTCATAGTGTCAGAGACGAGCCTTTAACTGCTCAAGGAAAGCCTCAGCATGACTTGGAGCTTGGTCATGGGAATGAAACAAGCATATCAAATGCCAGCAGGAAGCTTGCAGCAGTTGTCAAGGAATTTGTGGGGTGAAAGGGGCCTTTTTTTTTGTTTAGGCAAGTCATGGTTTTGATGGAGCAGCTCTAGGGCAGCACCAGAGGATGTTGTCTAAGCCTATGCCCTAAATTTTTAAGCCTCATGGGTGAGATTTAGAAATCCCTCACACTCCAAGAGCCAAGCCAAGAGCAGGTGATAAAATAAATCCCACTGAACCATTGCCAGAGGTAATGTCAACATCTACTTCTTTATAAATCTGAGTGAATGCTTTAATGGAGCAGGACCTGGGCTTTGTTTAATGTCATGAAAAGGCATTTCTGCCTCAGCTGCCGGCCAGTGATGGAAGCTGGGAGGAATGTTAAACTTCCTGTCAATGTGTGTGCATTATACAGATGCTGTCACACCTCCCCAGTGTAGCAGGATGGGTGGGGGTCCATCCTTCCTCTGCACAACATCTGATTCTCGTTTGTTGCAACTAGGGAGAGAGGGGGAAAAGATGAATGAGGAGGGCTTTCTTCAGGCGAGAAAATCATAGCAGAGACAAACTGTCGAGCAGATCAAGGCAGACAGCTGTATTGTTTAGTGCATCCTGTGACCAGAGAAAGTTGGCCGAGTATTGTGCTCTCCAGGTGTAGCTGAAACCTACACACTTTCTCACATGGGTATCTATTTCCCTCTGCTTCCTTCTTCAGTAGTTGCTAATCATTGGCACTGACTTTTAAACTTTTGAGAAGGGATGATCCGACTTTTTCTGTGAGATCTGAATGTTGACTTTTATTGATGTTTAAGCCTCAATGTTTCCTTAATGTCAAATAAGGGCTTTGAGTCCCTTATTATGATGTTTTAGTCAGGGAGGATATTTTGGCAAAAACAAATGATCTGTTGTCACTTAACATTTTATATATAGAGTACATGAACATTTTGCGACTTTGCAGATACACTTATTAAAAATGTTCCCTCACTGATGCTAAATGTAGTTTTTAAGAGACAGGGTTGATTAAAGGACCAGAACACTCAAATTGTTAGGTGTTTAATTATGCACTTTGTATTTTAATTTGAGGATAACAGGCCAAATGTTGGGGGCATCAGATCATGTCGCTGTTTCAACAGTTTTGGGCCAGGTACAGTGCTAGTTAAAGCATCAATAAAAAGTGTTGATTCAGTGGCGCTAACTATGAATCAAAGACTTTTAACAGACCTTTAACAGAGGTATGTCCATCGTGCATCTGTGTTCACATTACAAGTGGCTCGTTTGCTAAGTTTATATGCCACATTTCCTCAGTAGGTGTTGGAACATTTTAATGAAATAGCTACTGAAGCAGACACAGGCAAGCTGGGGCAGACAAGCAGGCTTGTAGTGAAGTTTAAGTGCACATAAGTGCCATTCACCCATAACTCAGATTATAAAATATATTTGGGAAACATTTTGCACCTCTTATTGTGCTTGTTGCTCTTTTCTTTTTTTAAATACAAAAAAATAACTATGACAATGGTAACAGTGGTCAATGTGATTCAGGAGAAAAAGAGATTCCAGTTAGTCTTGTAGCCAAATGTTCTATAACAGCTGCTGTTTACTGTCACCCTCTAACATATGTTTTAAAGGAGATTTCCACAGAGAGGAAGCTGTTAGTCTTGGGCCTGACATAACAGCCTTATGTCATTGAAAATGTCCTGGAAAAACAGTGGGAACCCTGAATAATTCACTAGCTATCAGCCCATTAATTGAGCTTGAAAGTAAAGCTTAGCGTTATTGCAGAGTTCATAACCTATCCAGGGACATCATTTTGTCAATTCACAGCTGCTATAATTAACGCGATATTTAACTTCATTTATTGCCAAGTTTCTAGAATGAAAGCTTTTTTATTTTCCAGAGAGTGGAGGAGGGGATGAGGAGACAAGAGCTGCTGGATGCAATAAGGGACAAAGAGAAACATGAAGAAAATGTAGTGAAATCCATTTCAGAATTACGTATTCAGACGTCTTTGTTTTGTCTGACCAACAGGTCAAACAGACAACTAATGTCATGGCTTGTCGGTAGAAGACAGATAATGAGCTGTTAACATATAGTATTAATACTTGTTCTGCCCAAATGATGCAATGGTAAATACATATGTCAGTACAGTTACAGGTGGTGCATTGGAAATGTCTGAAGTTGTTATCAGTAGTTTTTCTCAGAAGCTTAAGGTTGAGACTGTCTTTTCAGAAACTGATCATATTAGAGGGATTATCAGACTAGAGGAAGAACATTAGAAATAAACGTGTGCACACTGAAACAAGTAATTGACAGAGAAAGCTGGTTTAAACAATCCCCATACTCCCCTCAGTAACTAGATGTAATGAAATCCTTATTGATATTACGTTCTTTTTGGAGGTGTTATTAGATTTTTGTCAAACCTTCATATCTAAATCATCACCAGCCCTAATAGTTCTGTACTTGTCTTGCTCTACTGTGGTTTTAGTTGATGTTTGAGTTCAAAACCTGATTAAATTTTAAAGAGAAATCACCACTTTTCACATCATGTAATGCATTTTAACAGCATTTGTCAGATCTGTAAGCAGAAGCGCCTTGTATTTAGTTCCTGGCACTGTTTCATCAGACCATTGTAGGTAGACTGTGCCAGATCATTTGATGTTTTCAGCTGTGACTGCTACAGTTTACTGACAATGGCTAGACCTTTAATCTGCTGTAATCCATGTGCCAAGCCATGTTTAACATTACAAGAAAATGGAAGTGTAGAAAATGTTTTTGTGACAACACATTGTTAAAACTAATCAAGTTAAACCTTTATTAGCTGGCCACATTCTCTTTACACCTTCTAGTTCAACAAACTGGGGTCAGCCTCTGGGCATCCTACTGCAGGACTATACATGCTGTATTTTATTTTCCTACTTGTGTTTGTGATGTTGGGTGTGGTCATTAAAATGGGATTATGGGCTTGTTTGTTGCCATCGTAACAGATCTCAGTGAATGGGTATGTTGACTTCCCCTTAGATTGTTTCTGTCCAGCACCTTTGTGGTTGAAGAACAAAGTGCACATAGTGTCTGTAACTAAGCTTTTTTTGTTTTGGACTTTCCATGGTTAGACATGTATAAAAGGATTACACCCACTGACTTGAGTCAGCATGTCACTCGTGGGTTTTAAGGGTGTATAAGAGGTGATTGTTCATCATGTCAGTCTGGGATACAAACTGTGTTCTGTAATTTAGACATAAGGTGTTTTGCTGTTGGGACAGATCCACTTTTTGTATCTCCATGTCTCATAAATATGTAAAACCCAGAGTGAAAGAGGTGCTGTCAGAGGATCCACAGATCAATGTCAAGTAAAGGGTGTTACAGTTAGCAGCAGCTGTATGAAGGCTGTTTAATATTGTGTTAACGTTTTCACCTACCACAGTAAAAACCCTGTGGTTGGTTTACCAGTAGAGACTTGGTTTTGTGTTCCAGCAAATTGGTTGTATTTGCAGATGGGACACCAGAATTTTCACCTTTGTCATTGCACTTGTATTGGAGCTGGAAAGTAATAAACATCTGCTCAGGCTGAAGGTGGGCCAGCTGTGTTGGGATGTAGTCATTCACTGAACTAATTAGACTGATGTAGTTTTAAAGTGTCCCACCCTAACAGGTATAACAAAGCGAACAGGAAAGTCAGTGGATTGTCACTGAAAGAGTTTGAACTACCGATGTGCTCATACTGTCCCCTGATCCAGATCCCAGTCCTTTAATGTCGAGTATATTTGCCATTACACAGTCTGAGCTGATAATTATGTTCATTTATGTAGAGATACTGCTTGCAGCCAATGATGCATTAATTTTTGTATAATATGATGTCATGGGGTAGGACTGGATAAGTCTGACTTCTTCCTACTCCATTCAAACATGTAATATGTGTAAGCAAACTGATTTTGGATTAGCATTGGTTGGATATGTGTAATTATGTGTGTTGTTGCCATTTGTTCATTTGTTCTGTTCTGCATGTTTGAAAGAATAAAATCAATCAATCAATCAATCAATCATTCATGCACCTGAATGTTGATTAAACATGTATCTGATGCACTCAAATAATAAAACCTGTAGAAACAGTCTGAACAAAGTAGGACCTCCACACTAGTTCAGTGGACTCCCCAGTCTCCATCTAACCAGCTCTCAACAAAAACAAACTAGGAATTCAGACCGGTTTTCAGTCTGTCCCTCTTATAGCTGTGCCTGATGGATTCACTACAAGATACAGCTAGCTCTCCCCCTGGAGTCGAGACGGTCCTTGAGTGCCCTGGTGGGGTGCAGCAGTGGTTATAGCATATGCCACATGTAATGTCATCAGTTCAGTTTTGACTGGTGACCTTCGCTGCATATCATAGCCCATCTCTCTGACCCCTGATCTGAATCCTGTCAAACATCTATATTATAGAGAAGGCACCCCTCAAAGCTTAGATAACTGGAGCAGTTTGTTCAGGAAGCATGGGTCATTCTGCTTATTAACGGGTGCAGAAGTCTCACTGAGAGCTACAGGCATCACTTGTTTGCAGCTATGGTCTCTAACAGTTGTGCAATAAAATGTAAGGTAAAGTGTTCCATCATATACTGTGTGTGTGGGTGAATGTGGATGATGTGTGTGTGTGTG